TGTGAATCATAACACCATCTTTGGTAGATTCCACTAACTGAACCCCCAATCGGGCCAATATATGAACATCTCGAACTAACTCCTTCTTATCTTCTTCAATATGAGCAACACCACCAATAGATAATCGACTAAGAGCATCTACCACCATATTAGCTTTACCGGGGTGATAGAGAACACTCATATCATAACTTTCAATAACTCAAGCCACATTTTTTGGTGAAGATTTAGATCCTTCTGATTAAACACATCTTGTAAACTTTTATGGTCGATGAAAACATCGACATGAATTCCATACAAATAGTGCCTCCAAATCTTTAAGGAGAAAACAACAGTCGCTAGTTCAAGGACATAGGTAGGATAATTCTTTTCATAAACCATAAGTTGTCATGAAGCATATGCAATGACTTTCCTATTTTGCATTAGTACACATCCTAACTCAATTCTCGAGGCATCACAATAAACAACGAAACCATCAGTCCCTTTTGATAAGGTCAACACCGGAGCGGAAGTAAGTCTATCCTTCAATTCCTGAAAGCTCTTCTCACATGCTTCAGACCATATGAACTTAGCCTTCTTTTGAGTTAAGGTTATCAATGGAGAGGCAATCGAAGAAAACCTCAACAAACCTTCTATAGTAACCAGCTAAACCCAAGAAACTTCTAATATCCGAAGGGGATAGAGGTTAAGGCCAACTCTTGATCGCATCCGTCTTCTTAGGATCTACCTCAATACCACTACTTGAAACAATGTGACCAAGAAAAGCTACGGACCTTAACCAAAACTCACACTTGCTAAATTTTGCGAAAAGTTTTTGGTCTTTGAGAATTTGCAACACAATCCTCAAATGATCGATATGCTCATCCTCACTTCTCGAATAGATCAATATATCATCAATGAACAGAATCACAAACATGTCAAGGTACTGTCTATGTTGAGTTGTATGACCTAGCCATATGTGTGAATGATTTTAGTTATTTTCCAAAAAAGATTTATGTAAAAGCAAGGATGACAATTTATCGGGACTTTAGAAAAACTCTAGTTGAGCAAAAGTCTATGTTGATTTTAAACTCTCACCTATTTATGCAGTAATACATAGACAGTATAAATTTATTTATTCTTTTATAATTGCAGGTTTGGATATATAAGATTTTTCTTCATCTTGAAAAATATGTTGAAAAGTCATTGGATTCTTTTTTACCCACTTCTTATTTATTAAGATGGCATACACCGAAGAGTGACAATATAAAGGAAGGAAACTCATTTAAGTATAGAAGAAACAATATAAAGATAAAAATTTATTTGTTGTTGTATAATACTATTTTAAAATTAGTGAATATCATGTAATTTCTACATATACTTTTTTGTAGATTGTGCACCTATACTTTACCCCTATTGCTCGTGAGATGAAGCAGACCTACATGATAACATTTTATTCATATATGAATGAAGTTAATAACATGTTCATTGATACTTTGAAAGTGAAGTTGAAAAGCGTGACTATCCTCACTTCATCAATAGAGGTCGTGGACGACGACAAAGATTTGAATGATCACAATCATATTACAGTCCAACACATGCTTATTATCATGTTAGTTTTACTGAACAGAAAATCGTACATGACACTTTTAATGATAGAGATCTGCATGAGCGTGTTTCTTTGAACAAGAAATGAAGACAAAATAATAGGGAGTTAAAACAAGGATTGTCTTCTCTTTTATATTAAAAAAATCAAATATTACCATTGGATATGCTTTGACTTATACTTTATTATCGTTGTAAAAAGTGATTATTTAAATTGTGTTAGTGTTGTACACGATTCTTAGATTATAAATATAATTATTATTTCTTGTGTGGTTGATAGATGATGGACCGTATAGATCGATACTCTTTTATTTGTAAGGTACATGTGGGTTGGTGTAATGGTTAAAAAAATATTAGTACACAGCAAAAAAAATTAAATAATTAAATAAAGTATATTATATTGAGGATCATCAATTGAATCCATTGTAAATTCTAGACTACACACTTTGCAATTGATATATGTATGAGTTTATAGCTCTTTCTAGCATATTATCAAAAAAAAAATTATTGAAATTCACACAATTAAATAAACTTAAACAAGTCATATTATCATATAAGAGTCTACATAAATTGGGGACGGGGATTAGATTAGAGATGTGTGAGGGTGAGTAGTGATTATACAATCAACATCTTCAAAGTAATGTTTACCAAAGTACAAGTATGTTTTATGAAGATTTCATTTGTTCAACCATAATTCATCCTCATGCATCTTGATTATTGTCCCTAATTTACGTGCACTCTTATATGATCATATATATGACTTGTTTAAACTCACTGAATTGTGTAAATGTTAATAATTATTTATTTTTATTAATTAATTATTCTCTTTTTAAAATTTGACTAGTTATGGTCTTTACATATGTATCTTAACCTAGTAAGTTTATTATGGATGAAGGTCTTAGAATAGGCTAGACTATAACAAGTCGAGGACCAAACTAAGTACAGTCTAGCCTATATTAAGGCATTCGTCCATAATAAACTTACTAGATTATGAGACATATGTATAGACCGTAGTAGAAATTTCAAAAGAAAATAATTAATTAATAAAAAAATAAATTATTGAAATTTAAATAATTAAATAAGTTAAACAAGTCATATGATCATATAAGAGTCCGTGCAAATTGGGTATAGTAATCAAAGATGTATGAGGATGAATAGTGGTTGAACAAATGAAATCCTTACAACATACTTGTGTTTGGTCAACATTACTCTAAGGATGTTGATTATATAACCACTACTCATCCTCACACATCTCTCATCGTCGTCCCCAATCTACGTGGACTATTATATGATCTCATGAATTGTTTAAGCTCATTTAGTTGTGTAATATTTAATAATTTATTGTTTAATTAATTAATCATTTCTCTTTTCGACAATATGCTAGTAAAGGCTAAAAAGTCATACGATATACTATTGACAAAGCGTGTAGTCTAGAATTTACAGTGCACCAGATCGATCGTCCTCAATATAATATAATTTATTTAGTTATTTACTTTTTTATTATTTATTAATATTTTTCGATCATAGCACTAATTCATACACTGAAATTCATTAATTATTTATCATGGATAATGATCTCCATCAAGTTTAGACCATTTAATTTGTTTAGTATAAATTCATCTAACCGATGTTTGACCAGATTCATTATCTTGATAATATATATATTACTAACAGAATTGCGAAATTCAAAAACAATAAAATGACAACAATATGTAGAAAACTTAAATTGATTTTATTCATTTGTTTGTGGCTACATATTTAACATATTATTGACACTAGCTTGGGCAAAAAGAGCAAAGGGAAAAAGCTTTCAATACACATAGTAAGTAGTACATAAATCAAATGATTCACACTCCGTTTTCTCTTCTTGAAACATTTAGGATCTTCCAATTCCATTAGGATGAACATTCATATTCATTGAATGATCACCGAAACTTTCATCTTCAACTGAATGGTCGTCATCGACTGTAAGGTGTGGTGACGGGGGTACTAGAGACCTCGCAACGATATTTATTCTCAATATAGGCTTAAAGCTATTGACAACGACATCCAACATGTACGGGAACATCTGTCTGTCATTTTTATGAATGTGAGATGTATTTTTCTTTCGGCGGAATGACCTGGAAGACCCATATACTTGGATCTGTTTGTCAGTTGGACCCTCCTACTCATTACTTTGCCAAATGGATACTTAAACTCAATGAAACTCTATTTTTTCAACCCCTCTGACCATTGACCAAACTTATGTGGCATTAAATTGACTGAGTTAGACAACTGCGTGACAACACGCGTTTGTAGCAAGTGACTACAATATTTCTATTTTTAAAATATTAAAATTACACAAGAAAAAATAGTAATATTTAAAAATAAAAAAAACTCAAATCATCTCATCTTCTTCTTTAGCCCCACCCACCCCTTCTCTCTTCATCTTCAATCCCCAATCCACCCTTTCTCTTTTCTTCTTCTTCTTCAGTTGAGTACTCACCCACTCATCCATCATTCTTTCTTCGTTTTCAGTACCCACTTCATTCTATTTTTTTTCATTGTCTTCTTCGATAAACACCCTTCACCACTGTCACCATTACCATAAAAAAAAATTAAAAGTTACCAAAACATAGGGGTGGATCTATTAAGGGGTGTGGGGGTGCCAAGCCACCCACGAACTTCGACGAAAAATCTATATATACATAGGTATATGTGTTTATATATATATGTATATATATAGATATATATATATATATATAATATTTATATAAATATATAAAATGCCACCCAAAGAACAAAACTGGTCTGTGGTGCCAAGGTAGGAGGAGGACTTAATAAGGTTGATGTTGCGGTTTCGAATCCCATTTGCATCTATTATTTTTGAGAAATTGTTGCACACGTTTTTGTAAGAAAAAAAAGGCTACAGTCATGGAAAACCATATAAACGCTTTCTTCTCACATGCCTCAACCCTAATTTCTTCTGATTATTAGCTACCGGAATGGCCAATTCCGCCGCTGGCCAGCCCCCTGTTGCTAGTCAGGCTTTGCCTCTCTATTCCGATATTTCGTTTCCAATACTTCAACATCCCAACAGTTTGCCTGCGAAGGAAGATAACAATGATGGACCCTCACAGGTGAGTCTTGGAAAGGTAAACTATGTTGAACTAGTTAAGGACACAATGCCTCATCGAAGAAATCATGGTGCGGTCCCACCAATCCAAATGAAACAAATTCAATACGTAGAAGGAGTGCCCAGAATCACATGGACAGAAGAGGAAGTGAATAGAATGAATGTACTAGAGAATCTACAATTTGCAGTTATTAGTAAATTCTCTTATGGATGGCCAGAACTAGATGATCTGAGAGTGCAGATTCCTAAGCAATTACAGATCAAAGGAGATTGTAATATTGGTCTGTTAAGGAATAGACATATATTAATCAGATTAATCCAGATGGAAGATTTTATTAACATAATGTCAAAAAATACTTATTACATTATTGCTAAAGATGGATATACGTATCAAATGTGGCCGCTAATCTATGATGCCAAATTCTAACCATAGGAGGAGACTACTCAAGCAATGTCTTGGATTTATTTCCCGCAACTGTTGCCCACTTTTTATGGCAAAGAAACTTTGTTCTCATTAGCATCGGCTGTGGGGAAGCCGGTGCAATTGGACTTGGCAACAATTAATAAGACACACCCAAGTTGTGCGAGAGTCAAAGTTCAGGTAGACCTTATTGCAAATATTCCGGAGTGGATGGAGATAGAAGTGATTAGTCCAGGAAAGAAAAGTGCAAGGATTGAGAAGATCAAAATCCATTATGACTTTTTACCTAAGTATTGTCGCACCTGCAAGCTGCAAGGACACAATGAAGAAGAATGCAGAACAATTCATCCTGAATTAAAATATGCTAGAGAAAAAAAGGTTCAAGAGGAAGGGGAGCTACCTCAACGTCAGGCTCAAGATCAATATCAGAAGATTAACTAGAGACATAAAAAGTTCATCAAAAAATGGTGTCCAATTAAAAAAGTTTTCATCATGGATAGGACTAAAGAAGCAGAATCCAATGGTAAAAATATAGTGGCGACTGTCAATGCTTTTGACTGTCTGGCTGATGAGACACAACAAGTTCAAATAGTTGTGGAAAATTATGAGCCAGTCTCAATGCAAACATCAGACAAGGTGGAGGTACAACAAAGCCAAATCAAAATACCAATGAAAAAACAAATTGATACTATGAAGTATCCTCTACTGCTCAAGAGATTCAGGATAACAAATCAATTAGCAGCAATATATACAGCACACATGAGGATATTCAGGGTGAGCAATCAAAGATAGAAAAGGTGGACAAGACTACAAATCTCAAGGATGAGAAGTTAGCTCAAGAGACCAAACAACTAATGATTAATCAAAGCATCCAAATCAGTAGTAATAAAGAAGTAGATAGTAAGGATGGGGAACAATTAATATGTGCCAGTGTCCAGCAGTCCACTGTGATTGCTAATGTTGAGTACCCTATACCACTACAGATGATATCTACAAGCCCTCAAGAGTCTTCAGATTGTACAACAATGGAGCACAAAGCGTATCTCCCCATTATTCCTTATCCAGAGAAAGATTCTCCTATGCAAGACCTACATGAAATTGTTTCACATCAGTTGCATAAAGTTAATATAAGTGAAAGTACAGAAAGTAGGGTTGATGGGATTGAGGATAAAGATGACCATAATAATAATATCAATTCTAGAATGATTGAAAGGGAAGCAGGATTATCTCCTCATGCAATCTCAAAAGGATTGAAAGGTAAAAATAAAGGGGATAACAACAAAGTTGAGAACAATAGTATGATAACAAGAACATCACTGAAGAGGGGGGTTAAAATTGGTGTTAAATGAAGTACAAAGCTCTTGTGTAGAACATTAGATCTGTGAGAACTCATAAGGCTTTTCACAGAGTCCAAATGTTAAATAGACACCATAAGTTCTCCATGATTGCATTACTAGAACCATTCCAGGACACAAGGAATATTCAGAGTTTTAAGAGGAAGCTGGGGATGAAGTATGTTAATTACAATATTAATGGAAAGATTTGGGTATTTATACAAGATCATATACATGTGGGGGTGATTATTGATTCTGAACAACAAATAGCATTGCAGCTAACCCTAGAGGATGGCATACACATGGTTACTACCTAGTTTATGCCAAATGTTCTACTCTTGAAAGACGCGTCTTGTGGGATGATCTTTATTCAATTCGGCAGAATTTGACCCTCTCATGAATGGTAGGGGGTAACTTTAATGTTAACATGAGTGATGAGGAGAAAATTGGGGGTCTATCTGTATATCCTCAAGAGTTTGAAGATTTCTCTTTCTGCATAAACTCATGTTATATGTTTGGTGTCCATGTTAGAGGAAGCCCATTCACTTGGTGGAATGGTAGGGCTTATGAGGCTTGTATTTTCAAAAGACTTGATAGGGTGGTGATTAATCAGGCTTTGGTGGATGTTGTTGGTGTTGTGGAGGTTCAACATTTGGCAAGAACTGGCTCTGATCATGCACCTTTATTTTTTACTTATGGAGGGGATCTTCAACAGTTCCATAAACCTTTTAAGTTTCAGAGTTTTTGGACAAATAGACATGATCTTAAAGAGGTTGTTAGGAAAAATTGGGTGGCTGAGAGTTCAGGAAATGTATTTATTAACCTCAAATCTAAGCAAAGGAGAACTAGACAGGCTCTGACTAGATGGAGTAAGGAAAATTTTGGGGATATTTTGAAGCAACTTATCATCAGAGAGGAAATTGTGAGAATAAAGGAAGAATTGTTCAAAGAGTTCCCTACTGCCTCCAATAGGGTGGTTCTTCAAAGGGTCCAAGATGACCACAAGAAGTACTTGCAATAGAAGGAGGAGTTTTGGAAACAAAAGGCTAATTTGCAATGGTTTTCTGAAGGGGATAGAAACACCAAATTTTTTCACTGTTTGGTAAAAGGAAGAAGAAAGAGGTTGGGGCTAAAGAGCATGATACTGGAAGATGGAAGGTGGACTGGGGGTGATAATCAATTGGCTTCTGAAGCTATAAAGTTTTACCATGCTCAATTTACTGCTAATAATAACAATGAGGAATATTCATTGCTTCAGAATATCCCTAAACTGGTCTCAGATTCTGACAATCAAGCACTGAATATAGTACCTACTGAGGAGGAGGTTAAAGGAGTTGTATTTGCACTAAATAGAGATAGTTTTTGTGGGACTGATGGCTTTTCAGGTCTGTTCTATCAATATTGCTGGGATATTGTGGGTCTTGATGTTATGAAAATAGTACAGGCGTTCTTTGAAGGTAATACTCTACCTAAATCTATTACTCATACTAATTTGGTCTTGCTCCCTAAGAAAGAAATCATACATACTTTCTTAGACTTAAGGCCAATTAGTTTAAGTAATTTCTTGAACAATGTCATCTCTAGAATCATACATGACAGGATAGAAGATTTGCTTCCTAAGATTGTCTCCCAGCATCAATCTGGATTTGTGAAGGGAAGAAGTATTTCTGAGAATGTATTGCTAGCTCAGGAGTTAATTACTGATATAAGAAAGAAGGGAAAACCTGCAAATGTTGTTATTAAGTTTGATATGGCTAAAGCTTATGATAGAGTGAATTGGAGATTTTTTATTCAAGTGCTAGGAAGAATGGGGTTTAACAATTTGATGTAAGACAAGGTTTGGAGGTTAATTGCAAACAACTGGTACTCCATTATTATTAAGGGGCAATCTCATGGTTTCTTTCACTCTTCTAGAGGGGTGAAACGGGGTGAACCCCTATCCCCTGCTCTTTTTATTATATCTGCTGAGGTGTTGACAAGAACTTTGAACAATCTATTTGAGGATAAAAACTTCAAAAGTTTTGGCATGCCTAAATGGAGTGACAACATTAATCATCTTAAATAGGCAGATAATATAATCATTTTCTCATATGCTGATCCCGTCTCTTTGAAATTGATTATGCAGACTCTTGAAAAGTATGAAAATGAATCTGGCCAGATGATTAATAAGCAGAAGAGTCAATTCTTTATGTACAGAAAGGCTGCCAGAGGGATCATACAAGAGGTGGAGAATATTACAGGTTTTACTATAAGAGATTTCCCTATTATGTACTTGGGATGTCCCATTGGACATGCAAGAAAGAGGAAGGTTCATTTCTCTGAACTTATTAAGAAGGTACAAAATAAACTACAATTGTGGAAGGGGAAACTATTATCCTTTGGGGGAAAGGTTGTTCTTATCAATAGTGTCCTACAAAGTGTTCCTATATATCTTTTGTCCTCCCTGGTTCCTCCCAAGTGTGTGATTCATGATCTGCATAGAATATTTGCACAGTTTCTATGGAACTTTAGGGAGGAGGAGAGAAATAAGCACTGGGTATCTTGGGAAGATTGCTGCTTACCAAATATGAAGGTGGTTTGGGATTCAGATCTTTTTTTGATGTGTCAAAGGCTTTGTTTCCTAAATTATGGTGGCAATTTAGAACCAAAAAGACTTTGTGGACTAATTTTCTATGGAACAAGTATTGTAAAATACATAGACCCCAAGTGGTACATTGGCAAGGGGGTTCTCAAGTCTGGAAACTTATGTTGGATGCTAGAGATGCTATGGATCAAGACATATGGTGGGAAACAAAATGTGGTCATTCAAGTATTCGGTTTGATAACTGGACTCAATTAGGGTCTATTTTCTATTATCTTCCTATATCATACCAGCACTATAATACTTATGAAGATGTCAAGAAGTTGTTGATACAACGTAAGTGGAACAATAAACTATTGATGCAAATATTTAATGAATAAGTGGTCAATCAAATTCCCAGGGTCCTGGTAGCAGTAGGTAAATCAGAAGAATGGGATAAGGCCTGGTGGATGTTAACAAGCAATGGCAAATTTACTATTAAATCTGCCTGGGAGGCATTAAGAATGAGAAGTTCAGATCAGGAGGAGATGAAATTCATTTGGCAAAACGGAATTCCATTCAAAATCTCATTTTTCATGTGGAGACTCTGAAAGAAGAGAATTCCCATTAGAGAAACTATTGAACATCTTTTTGTTCAATGTCCAAATGCTTTAAAACTATGGCATATGTTTGTTGGGGCTGCTGTTTGAAATGTTATGGTGTTCAGCTGAAACAAATGTGTGATATTTGGTGGAAGTTTGAGTGTGCTTCTAAACTTAAACCTTTGATTGTTGTTGTGCCTAGTTTAACAAAATAAGAAATGGAGGCAGTATATCTTTTATCTATATGGTGGGGGAAATCAATAGAAACTTGGTTATGTTAGCCAAGTATTTTTACCCTTGGTTAGCTGATATTCCTATTAATTGGCCTTTAATGGTCAAGTTCTTTGAAGATTACAGACCAGTGATATCTTGTGAAGTGGTTAGATGGACATGTCATGTAATGGGCTTCAAATGTAATACTGATGGAGGATTGGATTCTTTGACAGGCAACTTTTCTAGTGCATTATGTATTAGAGATGTTGCAAGCAACTTTGTATATGCAGAAACAAGAAATATTGGGAAGGAATCAGTGATGATGGCAGAAATAAAATCCCTAATGTTTGGGCTAGAGTATTGTTGCAGTCACAATGTAATACATGTTGTTTTAGAAACAGTTTCTTTGATATGTAAAAGGGTACTTGATGGAGTGTGGGAAACTCCATGGAATATTGCAATTGTTCCAAACTACTTAAAAAGGGTATTAGCAGAAAATGGGGCCTTAGTCGAACATATTTACAGAGAAGGCAATCAAGTCGCATATTTTTTTACTAACATAATTTTTACTTTTGCAGGTCCAATGGTGAAAAACATCAATTCTTTGAGAGAAATACCAAGTAAAGGAAGGGCATTGTTAGAACTCAAAAAATTGGGCACACCATATATGAGAATAAAGAAGTGTCAAAATAATATGGAATCTACAGCAAGCAACAGAACACCAAGAACAATAACCAATGATCCGATTAATTAGATTGAAGGGCAAGGAGACAGATAGTCTCCGATAAAAGGATTGTTACCTGAAGTCGGCATCTCCAATATGACATAATTAGATTTCAGATCAGATTTCTTTGGCAGTGGTATTAGTTCCTCTGGAGCTCAACCTGTTAAGAATGAAGAAATGGAAACCTAACTATGTCTTAGAGTTGAAGATCAATCCCTGAGAATTTGATGTTGCCCATCGGTAAAAAAAGGAACCCCCAATTTAGTGGTAGAAGAAGTCTTCATTAAATATGAATTCATGGTATTCGTGATACTAGTGAACTCCTAAGGTGAATATCTGCTCGACCGCGAAATTGTGCTTCCAAAATCTCCAGTGCCAGCTTGAAGATATCTTCCATGGTGACTTTTCAAGCTTCCAGAGCTATTGTCTCTTTCCTTTTTTAGTTTTGTCTTCACTATTTGTGTTTAATTAGATATTGCCTAAATTAAGTTTTGGACCCAAGCCATGTAAATTGTTTACACAATTTTATTTTTTAGTCTATAAATGTGCTCGACCCAATTCATTTGCTTAAAAAAATTAATTAATTAAATTATTACACCTTTGACTTTTCTTTTATTTTACCAAACACAATATAAAAGTGTTCTCTTTCTCTTCAACTATTTTCAAACCTTTTTTCCTCTAAGTTTCAACTTCTCCAAAATCTTCATTGCCCCATTCCATACCCAAGTCACTTGTTGTCGTTGCCGCCCGCTACCCGCCTCCCGCCTTAGCATTCCGTCCAGTGGCTAAGCCTCATAGGCCTGCTTGTTGTTGGGTGCTATTATTTTCAGTTTTGTCCATCCATCCACAACCTTTTATAGATTGTAAGTTTGTAATTCTATTTTAGTAAGATTTTTTTATTTCTAATTCTTGACTTCTTTAAAGTTTTAATGAGTGATGACTGATTTCATATTAGACAAGAGTTTTGATTTTACTTTGATATTCTAAATTTTTAATGAACATTGTAAGACATTATTGGTTAAAAATTGTGTGATATGAACCATATTAATTTGAATTAACTATGACTTACCCTATTAAATTTGAATTAATTGTGAGTTGAATTGAATTTTAATTTTTGTAGGAAAGTGTTCTAGTTTTATGAATTGAGATGGAGAAGTTTCTTGTGAAATTTAATCATTCTCAAGCAAGTTCTAGTACGAATGTCAATCATTCACATCTTATAAATGACCTTAATTTAGATTCACTTGAAGCCGATCCAGGAAAATGAGTACCAATTGCTCACTATAACCCTCGAATAAAGGATGAAGCGAGGAAACATTATATTCAAAACGGACCTTGTCAACCTCGCATGGATTCATATCCTCCTACTGAAATTGGAAAAAGAATGCGCCAATTTTGTAAAAGTTGGTTTGAAGGTCCATATTCTAAATGGTTGGAGTATAGCGTGGAGAAAGATTATGTCTATTGTCTATGTTGTTATTTATTCAAAGATGATTTCTTCCATGAAAGTACGAGTGAGTTTTACACAAAAACTGGTTTTAGGAGTTGGAATAGGGCACTTGAAAGGTTCCGTAAACATGTTGGTGATGTTAATAATATTCATGACAAATGTTTCAACAAGATGCTAGATTTGTCAAATCATCATCAATCAATTCAAGTTGTTCTTGACAAACATTCTCAAAAGTTAAAAAATGAGTATCAAATGCGTTTGGAAGCCTCAATTGATGTGTCAAGGCTTCTTTTGCAATATGGATTACCTTTTCGAGGTCATGATGAAAGTGATTCTTCAACTAATCAAGGCTTCTTTCTAGGATGTTTGCGATGGCATGGGGACAAACATCGGGATGTGGGAAAAGTGATATTAGAAAATGACCCACAAAATGACACTTTGACTTGTCCTATGATTCAAAAAGATATTGACAATGCTTGTGCAAAAGAAACATTGAAAGCAATAATTGAGGACTTGAATGGAGATTACTTTGGTATATTAGTTGATGAGTCAAAATACATCTCTCACAAAGAACAAATGGCTCTTGTTTTGCGTTCTGTTAATAAGAATGGTGAAGTAGTTGAACGATTTATCTATCTTGTCCATGTTAGTGATACATCGTCATGTTCATTGAAGAAAGCAATTTATTCTTTGCTTTCCGTTCACTCACTAAGTCCATCCAAAATACATGGACAAGGTTATGATAGGACTAGTAATATGAAAGGAGAGATAAATGGGCTCAAAACTTTGATTATGAAATATAGTCCATCGGCATATTACATTCATTGTTTTGCTCATCAATTGCAACTAACACTTGTGGCTATTGCTAAAATTTGGATGTTGAATACTTTTTTTATCATGTTAGTAATGTGTTAAATGTGGTTGGGGGATCTTTCAAGCGTAGAGACTTACTCCGTGATCACTAAGCCAAAAAGTTAGAGCAATTATTTGAATCTGGTGAAGTTTGAAAAGGCCAAGGATTACATCAAGAACGTGGGCTTCAAAGACCAGGTGATACTCGTTGGGGTCACATTTCAAAACTTTAGATAACTTTATTGTTATTTTCTCATCTATTGTTCATGTTCTTGAAGTGATTGAACTTGAAGGGTCCACATGAAGTGATAGAAATCAAGCGGAGTATATTTTGACAAAGATTAAAACATTTAAATTTATTTTTGTGTTTCACTTGATGTTGAAAGTGTTGGCAATGTCAAATGAGTTGAGTAAGATTTTACAAAAAAAACAGATCAAGATATTGTTAATGCCATGGAGTTTCTTAATATTACAAAGAAAAGATTACAAGATATGAGGGAAAATGGATGGGAATCTTTGTTGGATGATGTTTCCTCATTTTGTGATGTGCATGATATCTTGATTCCCAAGTTGGATGAGTCTTATTTTCCCGAAAAACGTAAGTCTTCGGGTGTTAGTTATGCGCAACACTTACGTGTTGAAGTCTTTGTTGTTGTCATTGATATGCAACTTCAAGAGCTTAATAACCGTTTTGATGTTAGTGAGTAGTGATCTGCTTTTTGGGATGGGTAGCTTGAATCCGGTCAATTCTTTCTCTAATTTTGACAAAGGTAAAATCATGACTTTAGCAAAGTGTTATCCAAGTGAGTTTGATGATGGAAAAATTCAAGATTTGAGCTACCAACTCGATACTTTCATTATTCATATGTGAAGTGGTAATCCCAAGTTCTCCAACTTGCAAGGAATTCGTGATTTTGGCGAAGGCATTGGTTGAAGCAAATCCTGCGGAGACTTATTCACTTGTTTATTTACTTGTAAAGTTGACTTTGATCTTACCTGTTGCTACGGCAACTGTGGAGGGAGTATTTTCATCAATGAAGCACATAAAAATGAAGTGCGGAATAGCATTGGTAATCAATATTTAAATGATTGTCTAGTTTGTTACAGAGAGTGTGATGTATTTACAAATATTAGTAATGATGTCATTATCGATCGTTTTCAGAATATGAAAACTCGTCGAGGACAATTGTAAATGAATGATGAATATTTATAATATTAGTAATATTATTGAAAGTTTTAAATTTGTTAACGTCATGCTTTTAGTGTGAAGTGTGGATTTGTAATATCTAATTATTTATATTTTATTGATTCATTTATCATATATATCGAAAAGACGAACAATTTAATCAAATATAAAGTTAATTTAATCGATAAGTCTATTTGGCACCCACAGACTCTAAATCCTGGATCTGCCACTGTCGAAAAATATACATCTAGCTAATCCATTTTCATTTTTATGTCCTTATATAAGAATTTCAAGATCTATTATATTTCTTAGATTATTCACAAACCAGATTTTTTTAATTCAAAATTTCTGTGATATTTGAGTTTATCAATTCAAAATAAATGGAATAGATCCTCAAGTAAACCTAATGGCTAATGAATTTTTGTGTTTGAAAAAAATTTTGAGTTTGAAAACGATGCAAAATGTTGGAGTAGAATGCAATTTGTTTCGGGGATGAGGAGTGGAAATGGAGAAGATGATGAAGTGGGGAATTGGGGAAGGAGGAATTGTACCTTTTTTAAATTATTATTTATCTTTTTTGATAATTAATTTTTGTTGTTCATTAAATATTTAAAAAAGGTATGATGTTTCACTAAAAAAAATGGTGTGAAATTCCATGTGTAGTTGTGTGTATTACACTTCCACAGATCATGTGAGAAAAGGGTTTAAAATATTGTGTTTCGTTGAGTTTAAATGTTTATTTGGCAAACTAGTGAGTAGGAGGATCTAACTGACAAACGGAGACAAGTACAAGGGTCTCTCAGGTCATTCCACATTTTTCTTTCCATTCATTAGTTAGTTAATCACAACGCCGCTTGGCTCGCAAACCAATTGTCCGCTCTCAATTACACTTTGAACCATGTTGTGCATGAATCATTGAGACGAAAGGGGATGATAGCTATCACCTTACTAGATAATTTTCAATTTCAACATATTATCACCACTAGCAATAATTACTTCAACTACTGTCATCATAAACCAAATTGATCAATCCTAGATTACAATGGCGGTCTATACCTAATTGATGACTAACTGGTGACTGGTATGAAAATCTGCAAACAAAAATGTCAATAAATTAAATTGGGTGTAATCAATTCTTTGCTAGCATTGGAATGAAAAAATGTACATTTAGGACTTCTAAACTACAACAATTTATATACTAATGAGGTATTGAGTGAGAATTAAAAAGTTTTCATGCTAGTAATTTTTTTTTTACAAAAAATTAAAAATAAATGGAATAACAATGGAGGCAATGAACAAGAATGAAGATTTTCAGTTGTGAGGAAGAAGATTTCGCCGAAAATGTCACTGGAATCGGAAAAAGTAGGTGAAAACAAGACCTTTTTTGGGTGGCTTCTTGAACAAGATTTTTTTATTATTATTTTATAAATCTGAAATAAATGGTAGGAAAAAATAAAATTTGTTAGAAGAGGTGGGGGAACTAAAGTGTAATATTAAAGACTTGGAAGTTGGTCTTGTATCTTTTGAAAGAATATTTGATGTTGTTATAATTAGTGTCTATTAGAGCTGTCAATCTAGGCTAGCCCACCCCATCTGGACTAACATCATGTAATATTGTATTGTTGATATTTATGATAATATTTTTATATTATAATTTAATTTAAAAAATTATAAAAATAATACTTTTAAGAAAAAAAGATTGGCCCAGCAAAGCCCGGTCCATGTACTTGTGGGCTGGGCCAACCATTTTCTGGCCCACACCAAAAATGGTCGGCCCATCCCACAAGTACGTGGGCTACGGGCTTTCCT